ATTCAAAAGAGAATTCCAAGTACTTGCATCCGCGCTAAGCAAAGTACTATCAAACAGAGAACTGGTGGATTCATTCCTCGCACCGATGTCTGACGAGCTGTACAGATCTATTAAGCTACAGCTAGAGCGGTTACCACCACCCACAGGATTGACAAGACGAGACAATGCTGATCCCTATAAACTAAAAGAGATCATGGATGCGGGATTAACAGCTCTGCAAGGCGTATTCTCATCCATGGACAGAAAGCGAGACGAGGCACGAGGTATCTCAACCTCAACATCGATTGCACGTGAACAGCACCAGTCAACTACGGCTGCACAGAATTTGCCTATAGTAGAAGAGCGCGGTGTGAAACAGGAAGAGATAGGGAGTGTGCTTGCTGTCATGAAGGACTTTATGGAACAGCAGACTTCTGCGAGTGATAAAAGGCTTGCGAGCTTAGAGAAAGCTATGATGGAGAACCAGAAGAGTCTCATGATGTTCATGCAGCAGCAGGCTAACAGAGCGCAAGCACCAGCATATAACTCGGGTCCAGGAGCGATGGGATATGGACAGAATTATTCGCGTGCATGCTTTTTCTGTGGAGATACAGATGGCCACCGCTCGAGTGAGTGCCTCGTGAAAGCCTCATACATCAAGGCCGGAAAAATAGAGATGGTCGATGGAAGAGCACGACTACCAGGTGGGGGAGAGGTCCCCAAAGATATTAGAGGACAGTATGTGAAGGAGCACATTGACAAATACTATGCACGCATGAAAGCAAGCAAGTTGCAGAGCCAGAATATCGTGATAAATGCTACAGACACTCCAGGGCTGTTCCATGTCCCAGGGGGTTATAGCGCGCTATTGCAAGAAAAACAAGAACTGGAGTGTCAGGTGTTTGCAATGAGGATGCAACAGACAAGCCAAGAGTCAGGAATGTGGACTCGCAGTAAGGGGCCACCACCTGATGAACTAGTGGAGCAAGAACCATCGGATGAGGACAGAGAGCAGGGTTTTTCTAGGCGTTCAATGAAGGAGGGTGGGAATCATACAATGACTTGTGGAGTTGCCAGGTCGGATTCACCATCACCCCCGGAGGACGTAAGAAACAAAAAACGGAGAGGAGCAGTTAGAGCCGAGGTAGTAGAGGATACATCGGATGATCCTGAGGTAGAATCTCCATCAAAGACAACGAGCAAAAAGCAAGTACGGCTGGATTCCGTGCCCAAGACCATACCGACTGCATGCAGTCTAACTCCAGAACCAGAGATGCCATATCTCAATGTTCCAGATGTTACCAATGCGGGTAGAAAGGGAGATCCATCAAGGAAATGGCCCAAGAAGACAGGGTTTGTGCCCTATGTGGCTGAGGAGAAATCGGCTGCTTACCGGTTGAAAGCACCAGTAGAAGAGCACGCGAACTCACCCGAGGTATTGGAGCAACTCATGAAGTCCCCCATAGCCATGATGGTTGGAGAGTTGCTTGCTCTGTCAAAGGTTGGCAGCACGGTTAAACAAGAATTGACTATGAAATGAGTATCCCTGGGTAAATCCAAGAAAAATGGCAAGCAACAGTTTGGGCTAGTCGTAGAGGAGGAATCTGAGTCAGAGAGCGAAGACGGAGTCACTGAGGCCCTTCCTTTTGCAGAGATGACTGATAATAAGAGAACTGGATTACCAAAGGATGCTGTATACTTATCGGAGGTCCCATTTGAAGGAAACTTTGTGGTGACCACCGAGGCCAGCAATGGAGTTCCCGAAGGCGCAGTGGTCTGGCAAGACCCTTTTGAGCAATATCTGAATGATGCCACAGAGAAAGGAGAAGTCCCAAAGCAGGTCTATGTAGCTAAAGACTCACAGGCTTTGCGCTCTGTCTTCCCTTTTATAAATGGTGTAGAGCGGTTTGAAAGCTTGTATGATACAGGTTCACAAATTGTGTCGATGTCTAGCCGAGTAGCTGGGAGCCTGGGATTGATATATGACCCAGACAAAGTGATAAACATGCAATCTGCGAATAAGCAAGTAGAAAAGTCTCTTGGGATGGCAAAGAATATCCCATTCTTGTTTGGTGATATCACGGTATATCTACAGGTACATATCATCAAGGATCCTGCCTATGATGTGTTGCTTGGTAGACCCTTTGATGCACTAACAACAAGTACGGTATATAACACAGCAGATGGAGGACAGACTATTAAAATAAAGGATCCTAACTCTGCACGATGTGCGATGGTACCAACATTCCCTAGGGGACAGAAGAAGTTTATGACGCGCGAAGTAAGCGAGGGTTTTCAATGATCGATGATTTGATTAACGATCAAGGAGATTTAGCACTAATAATAGAGTCTGATCAAGATGGTGACCTGATGATCAGCACCTACGCAAAACCCATAGGGTCACATGTATTTGAGAAAGAAGAATTACAGGCAGTGTATGCTGTAGCGAGCTCAATGGTGCGTGGCGAGGATACAAAGGCGCGTGGGACTTTATCCTCATATTTTGGGGTGCTTAAAGAAATAAAAGACATGAAGAGACAAGACAGAGGTGCAGAGACAGGTGCGAGGGATGTTGCATGGAATGTAAGTGAGGTACAATGCAAAGCGAGCTTAGAGCGATGCACGGAAGTTAAACTTTTTAAGAAAGTCAGCATGGAGTATTCTCCACCGGCAGTAGGATCGGTAAAAGATGTCTTTGCGACGAAGAAATATAAGCCAGTAGCACAAAAGATACGACCTATTACAGGAGGATTGCCATTAGAGTTCCGCATTGTGTGTGAAATCAGAGGAGACCCTTTAGTGAGCATGCCTCAATTGAGTATCCATCCACTGGAATATATGCCAACAGGAAGGTACACCCAAGAGCGCAAAGAGATAATCGACAGAGTCCACTCAGAAGACTTCCTCTGGCCGGAAGAGCGCAAGCTCATGCATGAGTTTATGTGCCTGCAGAATGAGAGATTTGCCTGGGATGATACTGAGCGAGGCCATTTTAAGGAGGAGTACTTTCCTCCTGTAACCATCCCAGCTGTAGAACATACTCCTTGGATACAGAAGAACATACCGATTCCACCAGGAATATTTGATCAGGTATGTAAGATAATAAAAACCAAAATTGATGCAGGAGTGTATGAGCCATCAAACTCCTCTTATCGCTCACGTTGGTTTTGTGTGGTTAAGAAAGATGGAAAGAGCCTGAGGCTAGTCCATAGCCTGGAGCCCTTGAATGCAGTCACGATCAAGCACTCAGGAGTGCCTCCAGCGACAGATGAGCTAGCAGAGCACTTTGCAGGACGTTCCTGTGGAGGCACATTGGATCTCTATGTAGGATATGATGAGAGAACCTTAGACGAGGGATCTAGAGATCTTACCAC